GAGTGCATTTCTGCTTGTGTATTCCCATTGAGTCTCAGTCTTGGAAGGGGGTTTGGCCTGAGGGGACCCGACCATTTACCTTGATGTTCCTGAGTGAGCAACTTGTTTTTCTTATAGTGATCAGTTGGACTGCCATTATTTTGTATTTTTCCTGTCAGTCTTTCTTTCAAGAAGTATCTTCTGTTCTACTAGCCGCTCCAGGCTGGTCTGCTTGCCCCTTCCAGTGGAAATTCCCCAACTCAGAAGATTCTGGATGGGGCCCAAGATTCCACCCATGGTCCTATGTAATGCAGAGGCTCCACAGGAAGCCTCCTTCACTGGACACTTTGTAGCCCCATTTTAGGTATTCCAATCAGTTATAGGAAGAAGGCAGACTTACAAGCTTTCTATGGTGTTATTTCTGGTTACTCATTTCTCTCACCCTCAAGTGTCTATTTTATAATGGTATGCAAGGGAAAACAAGATTCAAAAGACATCCAAGCATCCACATGGAGAGCACAGGGATGGGCAACTTGGACATTGGCTACCCAGAATGGGGGGTGGCTACAGAGGCAAGAAGTGACTGGCATACAAGCTTTCAAGAAGGAACCTAGATCCAGAGGGTATGGAGCAAGGTAGAATCTCCACTGGGTACTATCCATTCTGACTAATCAGGGCTGATGAAAGGAGATGTGGATAGGTCTCTTGAGATACAATAGCGAATGATTGTTATCGGGATTGATTGTAAGGGCTGGAAATATAAAGGTAGACATTTTGGGACAAAAGGAGGGGAGTGACTAACCTTGTAGTCTAGGAGTGGAGGTCCCTGGTACCATCAAAGGAGCAGAGCAGAGAACGGAACCCTACCCAGAGAAGCATTGATGCAAGGGATGGAGGCAGAGATGATGATGTGAGGAGGTCGAGTGGCTGAAGACGTTGGATCCAGAGAGACAGAGGGATGGTATGCAGATGACTGGGGGGGCAGGCTTGTGGGGTATACCCTTTGGTTGATGGATGATGCATGGAAGGGATTGTAACCATGGCAAGGAACTGATATACAATGGGATTAATGTGAAGGTGATGTCTTCCCATGTAAACTCTCACATAATTCACAATAAAGCATTAAATACAAAACAAAACAAAAGGCATCCAAGCATCTTAACATTATTCCCCCCCTTTTACCCATTTAAACCATGTCTCAATCCCTGTATCCCAGAGCCCTGTTTTTCCAAGGCTGTGCATGCATGCTTCATTATTTACCTCTGTCTCACATAGCCCATGCAAACCTGCCCATGCAAACCTTTCCCATCCACCTTGTTCTTCCATTCCCCTCCCCCTTCTTGTGTATTTTACTCCTCCCAAGCATCCAA